GAACAACTTTCTTTGACTTGTCGTTTGCTTTTCTGATGTTCTTGTTTCATCAAAAAAAATCAAATGCTTCTTTTTCTTATCGCTTCATATTCATTTTGAAATATCCCCTAATTTTTGTGAGCAGTGTATATTTATTTTCGCGCTGCCGTTCTTTCGCTCTTTACTCGTCCTCCTCGTAACGTACACTCCCTACCCTTCCACTAAGGTCGGCGATAAGGGTTGAAGGAAATTAATTTTTTTTCTTGAGCTACATTGATGGCTTATTATTATTATTATTATTATTTTGCCTTCGATGATCAACGTGTGGCGAGGTTGTACATCATCAACGTTGCAGGAAAAAAAATTACGATAACTTTAATCATTTTTAAAGTTCGCGCATCTCTTCGTTCCAGGCGGAATACATCCGGAAGCAGGGCTTCGGCGGCGCCATGATCTTCGCCCTCAACCTGGATGACCACCAGAAGGCGTGTCACGACAGCTCTGACACTTTCCCGCTCGTCAGGAAGATCAAGGAGATCCTGACTGCCGGACCCTCTTGATCCGTTCGTTCGTCCGTTCCGGATGTCTTTCCTCGCGAGAAAAATTAAATTCTTTTTTTTTTTTCATTTCATCGGGCTTTTTCATTCGGATATCATGTCATTGATATTCATCGGCAAAAAGCATCCGGAAGAAGTTGAATTGTCTTGCAATTTGGTACGCGTTGTAAGGTGTGCTCTCGATGATAAAATTAGCTGGGCGGCAACACTTTTGAACTTCTCGAGGTTTGTTTCATGTTTGGTTTGAACCGAACTGCTTCAGATCTTCATATTAACATTTTCAAATTTCCGCCCACTAGGCAGCCAACGTAGCTGCGGCAGGCCACTAGTTATTATCGATAATATTTTAGTTGCGAGTGGGGATGGGTGGCCGCGTCGCAGCGACTCGGGCGACATCTCGCGTCGTCTCAGGGAACTATGCAACAACTTTTCGTCGGCCCCATCTTCGCCTGAGAATAGCCAGGCTTCATTTCATCACCGAGGATTGTAGATCAAGAAGCATTCGCGTCGGGGGGAGACTGTCTACTCCGTTTCGTAATCTTTGTATCCTCTCCTATCTCATTTCGACATGGAGTCAATATTGATACAGCCGAGCATAAGATCAACATGTTGACTCTATCTCGTATCGTCAATAGACTTCGGTAGCACTTATTACATTTCTAGAACCCCTTCCCAGAACAAAAGCCTACCTCCTCTTGTTCCTCTCTGAGACAGGAACGAAATTAGGGATGCTTCCTCCTCTCTCGACACAGAAACGCCCCAGGAAATTGGAAGCTCCATCTACCCTGGGTTCTGGAAATAATCGAATCTCCCTTTTTAAAGATGTCAATTTCATTCCGTTTTTGGTTCAGGCCAACTTCCCCCCCCCCCCCCACCTCTCTCTCAACGGGACTCACTAACGTTCAGCCTAAGCCTAACCCAGGTATTTATTCCGGTCAGGCCGAAGCCTTTTCCTTTTAAAAGAATCTCAACCCTCGATTTACGGGGCCAATTAGGCATATAAGGGTCAATATTGGGGTCTTCCGAGGCTTTTCGATGAGGAAGTGTAAAGTTCGGTGGTTTCTCGAACACGTCCGAGGAGAAAATGCCTCCGGGGTTCAAATGCATGTTGGGCGCCGGCCTGTGCATTCAGGGATGTTCGAGTATGATATATCCACGTCTCACCACCTCGATCGGCCACTGCTAGCAACCGTTTCGATCTCAGCTCGTTCCGTGGACTCCGGCGCGAAAATGACTCAAATATTAAAAAAACAGAAGATCCAGACACGGATACGAAGGCCGAAGCAGTCATGAATCCGACCTAATTTGATTTTTATGGCGAAATCGACAAGTCAATATCTTTCTCATGGCTGCAAAAACCACTCGGGGGGAGGGGGGGGGGGGGGGGGGGGGGGAAAAGAAAAAAAAACGGGGGG